TGGCCAAGGGGGGAAGGCTTGCCCCCCCAAGCCAAGGGGGCGCCCCCTTTAGGGCCCCCCAACCCTAGGTGCATGGGCCCTAGGGGGGTTGGCGCCCAGCCCACTTAGGGGCTGGTTCCCCTCCATATTCAGCCCATAGGGCCCTCCGGGGCAGGTGGACCCTCCCGGTGGTCCCTGAAACCCTTTTGGTGGTCCCGGTACAATACTGATATACCCCTCGAATATTTTCGGCGACCGAATAAGGACTTCCCATATATAAATACTTATCTCCAGACCATTTCGGGATTCCTCGTGACGTCCGGGATCTCATCCGGGACTCCGAACAACATTCGGTAACTGCATACTAATTCCCATAACAACTCTAGCATCACCGAACCTTAAGTGTGTAGACCCTACGGGTTCGGGAATCATGCAGACATGACCGGGACAACTCTCTGGCCAATAACCAACAGCGGGATCTGGATACCCATGTTGGCTCCCACATGTTCCACGATGATCTCATTGGATGAACCACGATGTCGGGGATTCAATCAATCCCGTATACAATTCCCTTTGTCAATCGATATGTTACTTGCCCGAGATTTGATTGTCGGTATCCCAATACCTCGTTCAATCTCGTTACCGGCAAGTCACTTTACTCGTTCCGTAATGCATGATCCCGTGACTAACTTCTTAGTCACTATGAGCTCATTATGATGATGCATTATCGAGTGGGCCCAGAGATACCTCTCCGTCATACAGAGTGACAAATCCCAATCTCGATTCGTGCCAACCCAACAGACACTGTCGGATACCCGTAGTGTACCTTTATAGCCACCTAGTTACGTTGTGACGTTTGGTACATCCAAAGCATTCCTAAGGTATCCGGGAGTTGCACAATCTCATGGTCTAAGGAAATGATACTTGACATTAGAAAAGCTCTTAGCAAACGAACTACACGATCTTGTGCTATGCTTAGGATTGGGTCTTGTCCATCACATCATTCTCCTAATGATGTGATCCTGTTATCAATGACATCCAATGCCCATGGTCAGGAAACCATGACCATCTATTGATCAACGAGCTAGTCAACTAGAGGCTCACTAGGGACATGTTATGGTATATGTATTCACACATGTATTACGGTTTCCGGTCAATACAATTATAGCATGAACAATAGACAATTATCATGAACAAGGAAATATAATAATAACAATTTTATTATATACCTCAAGGGCATATTTCCAACAGTTACCCAGTCGGGACTCCGAAGAGGGGGTCCGAAGAATGGTCTTCGGAATGGTTTTACATTGAGGATGTTCCTCTTCCGGACCCTGTTCGACGCAGACTTCCCGAATTCTCAAGCGCTCCCTTAAAGAAGCTATTCTGTTGGCGCCCCAAGTCCTCCGGACAAGAGGATAGTGCAGAAGTGATGAGATTGGTCAGCAAGGTCAGATTGTTGACCCATTCCGGACTCTCCATTATTGAAGTCATGGCCATTGCGATAAAGCGATGTATCCAGCCTCTTCAATCCAGAGTGGCTCCTTTATGGAACTACAACGGGGAGGACGACGCGTCTTGCTATACGCGAAAGGGTCCGGATAACCAAGCCGCATTAGCTGCCATGCTGGTGGACCTTTACAAGGGAGAAGAAGAAGACTTCGCCCGTTTAAATTGTCGGGAAGGTTTCTCCATGTACAATCCCATTGACTGGGTAAGCTTAGTCATTCAACACTTTTTTTGTTATTGGGATGCATTAAATGAATACTCTGGTTGCTTCAAAACAGTCATGGAGGAAGGTAGTAGAGAACATCTATTGCCCCTCTCCTCAACCAGAGGACCATGTTCGCCATGAAGACCTCGGATTTCATGAAGATCCGGATATATTTGTAGAATTTGAAGACATAGTTTATTACCAGGCGAGCCCTGATGGCTCGAAGGTAGCCATTATGGCCGATTACCCCGATCTCCATTCCTTCGTTAAGGTAAGTGTTCAGAAATCATTTAAAAAAGGGAAACACTTCCGCTTACAATTTGCCCTCCGTACTAGACCGTGTTGCACAGGATCGGCGCTCAGCGAGCCGTACCCAGGCACAGGCAGTTAAAGGAAAACGGCTCCTTCACGGGGTGAGCGCGCGAAACGAAAGGGAACTGAGAGCGCCGCTGAGCCTGCTCCATCATCAAAGAGGTATATTCGTTACTTCATGTCTAAGCATAAAGCCAAACCGTCATTTTCCTCCTCCTTCTATCATCTCAGGAGAGGTATAATACGGTGAACCGTACCAAAGATCCCAGCAAGCCGAGCCGCGGCCAATGCGATGTCGAACTCGTCAATTAGGACGAGGGTGCATACAGGGGTGGCGCCGACTCATCCACCTCATGAAGATCCGGATGAAGTGTCCATCACTAACTCCGAGGTGGAGAGCGCAATGAATCGCCGTCACTTAAAAAGACCCTGCGTGCCCCGGCCTTTTTCGGAGCAAGAATTTACCGCTCTCAGTACAAGGAACAAGAAGAAGAGCTGCCAGAAAATCTCTAGCCACCGGACGACCGAGACATGTCGGACGCCTGGAGCATCAGCCAGCCCGACGAGTTCCAGCCAGCGAACGCTACAGCGGTCGGACGTCCGACACAGACTAAACGACCGACTCCCTCCAGCCACCGGACGACCGAGCCCCTCTGGATGACCGGTGCCCCCATCACAGAACGAAAACGTCAAGCCCATCAAAGGCAAAACGTCTGAAGTCCGACGTGTACCGGACGTCCGAGCCCCCGCAAGACATCGGACAGCCAGTAGTTGTCGGACGTCCGACACCTGTGAGTTGACTGTGAGTTGGGCCGAGGCCCATGTACCCCTTCGTCCACTTAGACTATATATACTCCTCCTCGTCCCTCTTTTTAGGGTCAGCAATGTGATAGCTCATTTTAAGAGATAGAGCTTTGCTCATCTACTTGATACCTTCTCCTTCGAAGACCGCGGCCTCTACAGAGAAGATCCCCCAAGTGGATTCAAGACCCCTCACGGGAAGACCTTCAAAACCTCCTCACGGAGAAGAACTGCTACTTGTATCGTCCTTTGTTGACTTTGGATCATGTATCTCTTCGTGTGTTTGGATCTAGCACATGTGTAATCAAATCTTGTTGGTTTGAGTGAATCCTTTCGTGTTTCCCCTCATATTTTCCGCTCATGTTCTTTGTGGGATCCGCTCCAATCGTGAAAGATCGGGCATCTAGAGTTCTACCCTATATCAACATGTAGTGACGACATATTAAACATACTACAGACGAGATGCTAAAAGTGGTATGTTGAGGGACACACAACACACAACTCAACAGGGGGTCTTGAAAACAAGGGAACTAAGTTTAGACAAAGTTACATGAATGTTCGTTTTGGCTCCCAGGTCCAAATCTTTACAAACTCTTATACATAGTTTGAGGCAACGCTTCCTTCCATTTTCATTATTAAAAGGATTATCAAATTGTCAAGCATTTATTTCAAATATCTTTTGGTCTGAAATGGGATCTTGCGCCATTTGGCGCAATGGATAATCTAGTTCATCTAGTTACCATTAGTAGAATGGATCACACGTTGCAACGTTTTTATTGTCCTCCTTTGCCATGTTGCTGTCTCCGGCTCAAAGTTGAGCTCCCAGGTTGGCCAGTAGTGAAGGTCCTGTTTGAGAGCAAGGACGCGAGATTTTCCATTCAACTGCACGGTCCTCACCCTAACAAATTCACCATCTTCCAATACCTAATAAAAAGGTCAATTCAGACAAATGGCATGTGCACTTCGCTATATAGTTTAAAAATGAGATACTGCAATATGACAAAAGAAGAACAGTGTTCACTATTGGCAATGCATACCTTCACCGTCTCTATGAAGGATTCCAGATCTGGAGTTGGTTGCCCGTTAACCTCAACTATCCACTGGAGAGGGTAGAGACCATATCTATGGATGGGACTTCCAGCATAACCTCTGCATAAAGACCTTGCTGCTCATTCCCCATTCAAAACTGGTATTTAAAAGGGCTATTTAAAATGTACTTTAGGGCCGCGAATCCAATATATACATAAACTTGCCTTCTTCATTAAATTGTTTTTTTTTCATTATACTGTTTGAGTACGCAGCAAGTAGAAAATGATGTCAAATGGCCACATTTCTTTCTATCTCCTTCTCCAGGATACTTATTACTTTGTTTACATTATTTTTCCTAACAAAATTCTAGCTCTTACACGGTGCACTCTTGAATTCATTGCTGCTTCACGGCAGCAGCATATCAGATCAACTAAAAGCAACATTATCTCTTTAGCGAATTCTCATTGGCCATTCAAATCCGACAAATCTAAACCTCTATTAGACTTTGAATAGTGTTCCGGTTAAAAAGATTAAATACCACTCTTGATCCTCTCCCCTCCCCCCCTCCCCCGGGTGTGGTGGCTCCGCGCTGCACTGGGACACCCCCGCCGGCCGCCTCCAGCCCTCCCCAGCGCAAGATCCCCCCTCTCGCCGCTGCGCCAGGGGCGTCGCATGCAAAGCCTATGTGCCGCAGCGGCGTTTCTCCTCGACTGGCGTTCGGGTCAGGGTGGCTGCGATTCGCTTCGGCCGGATCAAAGGCAGTGGCACAGGGCGGCGACAGCCAGGAAACCAGGGTCAACGTGTAGACTACGACGAACGACGAGATTTCCGGCGGCGGCTAGGGCGCCCGATTTGGGCCCAGATGGGCTTCAACGGGCCGCGATCTGTTGTTGTCCCGCATTTCCTTTGATCCGTCGATGGCAAGCGGCTTCTGGACTAGACCTGCCATAGGAGGACGTCGGGGGCTCCAGCCCTGGGCTTGCCAGTGGTGGCCACCTCCTTCGCCGGAGGTGGTTGACCGGCTGGTTGTGGCATCACACATCTAGTCCCGGCGGCGAGTAGGGAGGCGATGCTGCCGGTGAAAACCGTGCTATGGCTCTGGTCATGGCGTGCAATGGCGGCGTTTTTGCATTGTTTTCTTGTTGAAGACATCTCTACTGCAGCTAGCGTCGACTAACTTGCGCTGCTCCAGGTGAGATCCTAGATACGAGTTTCCCTGATCGGACGATGGCGACGCTTTAGGCGTCACCCTCCCTCATGGGGGCATCATTTTTGGAGTAGCTGCTGGATGACCCTCCCTCGTGGGGGCATCATTTTTGGAGTAGCTGCTGGATGGAGCAGACAAGTGGTGGAGCGGTGTCCATCTACATCGTCCACGACGGCGAGTCTTGGCGGCATAGTGCAGCGGGGTCCCGGTGTTGGACGTGGATCATAGACTCGTGCAGGGTGGAAGCGTTGTCCGACATCATGGCGGCGTCGATGACAGGCCTGGCATGCTCGATGTGTCAGTACCTACTTTGAAGCTGGATCATTGGGAGACGGTGGCGACAACCTCTACAACGTGCTCATGCGGTGCATGCCGGAGTGAACCAGACCAGTGTGTGACCCAGACCCGACAATTCAGCTGGATTGGGGCCTTCGGCTTTAGATGTTGGGTTTTGGTGCGCGGTTTGGGTATGCGACCCCGACAGTCTGCACCCCTTCATCAAGGGTGTGTTTGGTTGCCCGGGTGGGTCTAGCCTGAATCGCATGGGGGGTCCTGGGTGAGTGTGGCCTGGGTGAGCTGATGCAAGTATGAGCTGATATATGTGTTTGGTTGATTGTACGAATATGGTGCATGCGACATGCTGTATAAGACAGATGTTGATTGGTAGGCTGCATCAATACTTGTTTTCTTTGTTTACCAGAGACACGGCAGCCCATCTAAACTGAAATCCAAACTGAATACAAGTCTTGGAAAGCAAATCTGAATTAAAGAATTGAAGACAAATAAAACAAGGCGGGCCACTTAAATCAAACTCCCTCCTACAGTTTGGATTTTTCCTTGCAGTACTAACAAGTCTTTGATTTCAGTTTGGAGGCAAAGAAAACAAATCTGAACTGAAATCATACCCCTACAACAGTTTGGATAATGTTCTTTGTCTACCAGATTTCAGTTTGGAGTAAAACAAATATGAACTGAAATCTGAATCAAACTGTTGGAGGGAGTACAGACATGCCGCGCAAGTGCTCCCCTCTCCCTCCCACTTCTTCCTCTCAGGCGGTGGCGGGCGGCGTGGCGAGCTCCGGCGAGCTCGTTCGCAGGTGTGGGTCCGCGCGAGGATGGCGGAGTGACGAGCGTCGGCGACATCGTCGTCCGGCGAGGGCGTGGAGGAGCGCTGACGGCGTCGTCCTCTGGCGAGGGTGTGGAGGAGCGTCGACGGCGGCGTCATCCTCCGGCTAGGGCGACGACATGGGGGGGAGGAGGGAGGGCAGTGGCGAGTTGGACGGGAGACGACGAGGCGGATGGGGGTGCATCGCGGGTGCAGGCCAAAGGCAGGAGCGAGCCTGCACGCAAGAAACGCTCCGAGCCTGCGTTTCCCTCAGCCTGGCTGGGGGGGGGGGGGCTCTTTTTGCATCGACTGGGCCTGGCTGAGTAGGTCCTGCAGCAAACCAAACATGGGCCATTTTGCATCTCGGGTGCAAGCCAGGTGCGAGCCACCCAACCAAACACGCCCCAAGTGGATAGGAGTAGCAACATATGTTGCCAAGTTGGTAGCTTCATACTTATTGATATTTTACTTTGTAAGGTCTTCATGAATAATTAATAAAATGGTTGCACGCATCATCTTGATGCTGAGGCCAGGGGTCATCCTCCTTTTCCAAAAAGGGAAAAAAACTGGTGATTTTTGTTTCTTGTTTTTGACCAACACAAGATAGGAAGTGCCTGCCCGATAGGGATAAGGATCATCTTAGGGCTTAGGGGGCTTGCCCAAAGTTTCGTTGCCATAGGCCCCCAAAATGTGACGATGATGCCTTACGTGCTGCTCATCGTGAGAAGCAAGCTGCCCAAACTGCCACGTCACTAGATTCGGCACCGTGAGGTACCTATGTCCTAGTCCCTCTTGCTCACCACCATGGGAGCCTCGCTCACATTAATGCATGGGACAACAAAAGAGATGCTTCATAGAAGATGTCTCCAAGATAACAAGCTTGGTGATACCCCTCTCTTCCCCTCTTTTGATGTGTTGACCATTTGGTGGTCTTTTTTATGCTTTCTCTTCTATTTTTGGGGTTTGCTTGTATTGTGCCCCAACAGACTATGTGTGTCGGTATGACTCGTCTGTGGACTGGTTAGTTTCTTTATTTATAAAGCGGGACAAAAACCTGTTTCGAGAATCTCCTTTGCAAGGAACAACTTGCCCACTACCCTAGATCTCAAGTGTTCCTCACAAGAGACAAGCTTAAAGGGAGCATGGATTATCTCCTAGGTATACAAGTGGGGGCTAACCATGTTTTTGTCTAGATCTTAGATCTAAGAGCAAAGGATGGCTGAGAGAATTTTCTAAAGTTGCTATGGCGGGCAAAAGCCGGCTTGAACCATTTTCATTTTCATAAAATAGAGTGAGATACAATACAACGGCTACAGCTGCCACGCACAAGAAGGAACAGGAAAAAACAGAAGAAGAACCATAAGCGAGCTACGATAACACCAAGAACTTAGCACCGGTCACCACTAGGCAGAACAAGTAGAGCGGGAGCTAGCTTTGTTCGACCAGTCAAAAGGATGCACATGAATGAGAGGGAAATGGTAGCTCCGCAATGAAGCCTTCATAATTGGAAGCGGCGCCCGAAGATGTCACCATCATCGTTGCCGATGAGGTCGGCACAAGGCTTTAACCTGAAGCATCCCAACCCAGTCATCCCGTGGACGCTGGTAGTTGAGCTCCATCTGGATGAGACCTCCCCACCCTCCTCCAGTTCGCGGCGAGTGTCCCCGCTAGGTCTAGCAAGAGGCTCTGATGACAGAAACACTTACCTTGAGCACCTGCACAGACGAAGTCAAATCGATCTCGGGTGCCACCCGCACCCAGCCGTGAGCCACAACCTACCATCACCCCAATCGGACCCCGCTGAAACATGCATCCACCACCACCCCTAGCCATGGCCTCAGAACCGTTTGTCGGGCGAGCCGCCGCCACAGAGGAAGCTAGATCTAGGAGCCAGGGAGCACCACATACCAGACACCACTGCTCACAGGAACCAAGTGGACGCCTGTTCAACCACATCACGCCACCCAGCACCATCAACCTGTTCCACCCTCCTCCGCCACGGCATGAGGACCACCACTCGAGCGAGCTATCGCCCAAGGGGAGCCAGATCTGGGCGAGGAGCTCCCCTAGACCAGGCAACGACGGCTTTCCCAGGCCACCGTGCCCCGTCACCACTCGCTCGACGGCACCGTGCCACCCCTGCTGGCACACCCCTTGCCGCTCGTGAGTCCTCGCCATAGTGGAGCACCCTGCAACGCGCCACCCATCAGAGACGAGGAAAATCCACGTCACCAGTGGACCCATGCGGGCTTTGCCCAATGACGCCCTCCGGCGGCTGTGGAAGGAGGAAGGGAAGGGAAGGTGTTTGCGGCTACTAGGGTTCCTCTCGGGCCGCCCATGGGAGCGACACGAGAGGGGTCATGCAAGCCTCAATAATGAGGGAGTGAGAAAAGGATCAGTTTGAGAGGAGGGGACGCCCCTCATTTTATAGTGGCTAGGAGGTGGTTAATGACCTTCCTCTTGTCCTAGGATCTACATGAATAGTGTGGACTAGGTGCGCCACTTGCATTTATCTTAGTCCATGGGTTATGGTGGACCATGGTTTGTATTCTCACAAGGATGGATGAGCTTCTTTCCCAAGGGCCTTCATATGAGAGACACCAATCCTTTTCTCCTTTGCAATACCCTTTTGAAACTAGGGTGAGTGTCAACAGAAAATTAGAGCTTTGGAGACATACATTGGAATCCAAACTGTTTAGACTTAGTAGGACCAAGACTGAGTATATGAGGTGAGACTTCATTTGTGCCATGTGCGAGGAGCGAGAGGTTAGTATAGAAGGACAAATAGGGCCTACGAACGGCACCTTCCATTATTTAGGATCAATTCTTGCAAAGACATGGTGGTATAGATGAGGATGTTAGCCACACGATAATAAGAGGGTGCTGAAGTGGCGGCAAGCATCTGGGATCCACTGCGCAAGGTCCCACAAAATCTAAAAGGTAAGTCCTATATAGGACGACAATGTGGTGATGCTTTACGGAGCAAAATGTCGGCCCACTAAAAGACAACACATCCAACAAATGAGTGTCATAAAGATGCGCTTGGATGTGTGGCCAAACATGAAAGGACAAGATGATAAGTGATAGGGTAGGGGTGACACCAATTAAAGAGAAGCTTGTCCTCAAACCCCGACTAAGGCGGTTTCAGCATATCCAACGAAGGCCTCCAAAAGCACGAGTTAATAGTGGGATTTTAAAGGATGGCAAAAATAATAAGATGTGTAGGGGATGACCAAAGGTGACATGGGAGAAGGCGGTAAAAAGGGACTAGAAGGAATGGACTGCATTTAGAGATATGGCTCTTGATAGGACAACATGGAAATCAACAGTCCATGTGCCGGGACATTAATTTTACTTTTTTTATAGTTTCATTACTTTTCTTTTCTCTCTTCACTCTTTGGATTCCACATGTCCTCTATTGGACTTTATATGTCGCCCACACCAACTTTTTTAGACAAAAGGCTTGGTTGTTGTTGTTGTTGTTTTACTACCCTTTTGACCTTTTGATCTAAGGCTTCCTCTTGATTTCTCTTGACTTCCCTTGGCTTGCTACCTTGACTTCCTTGGACCAAGGCTTGGCGCCTAGGCCTCCTTTGACCAAGTTGGACCATGTTTACTGCAGTTGTCTTAGTTGATTACTGTGTCCATGTGGACATCCCCTAGTTAAGGTTTTGGCTATTGTATTGTATCAACAGTTTCTAATATTTGAGCATACAAACATAGTTTTAAATAGCCGGCTATGGCTTCGCTATAGCCCGCTATAGCATTTTCAGCAGGGTGCTGCTAAATGGTTGCCTTCATAAAAAGCCCGTTATAGCCTGCTATAGCCCGTTATAGCTCCGCTATAGTTGATTTGAAAGCTCGTCGCTATTTTCCATAGCCCGCTATTTAAAATGTTAACGGAGGAGATTGGGAGAATGACACCACACTTTGATTATGCCCAGACAGTGGCTATATGTACAGCTTGGAGCGGCCTCTGCCTAGTGGTGATCATGGGGTGACAACTACCTCAACGTGCGCCACTACTTGGCAGCACGTTCTCTAGCATGCGTGCGTATGCGGAGGCTATACAGGGCGCATACGCTACGGCATGACTGCGGTGTACAGTAGGCTAATACCCCCCGCAGTCGCATCATCGGCGGTAGCGACGCAAAGACTGGATCGGAATTCAGAGAAAACATCCGACGGCAGGCCTTTGGTCATGATGTCGGCGAGCTGTTGGCGCGTGGGCACATGGAGGACACGGAACTCGCCGAGAGTGACGCGCTCGCGCACGAAATGGATGTCCAGCTCCACGTGCTTGGTGCGCCGGTGATGAACGGGGTTAGCAGATAGGTACACCGCGGAAACATTGTCGCAGAAGACGAGCGTGGCCTTGGTGACGGTCAGGAAGAGTTCGCCGAGCAGCTGTCGAAGCCACACGCACTCGGCCACCACGTTAGCAACGCCGCGGTACTCCGCTTCCGCGCTGGAGCGCGAGACCGTCGCCTGTCGCTTTGAGGACCAGGAGACGAGGGCATCGCCGAGGAAGACACAGAAGCCCGACGTAGAGCGGTGGGTGTCGGGGCAGCCCGCCCAATCGGCGTCGGTTAAGGCGCGGAGATCCAGAGCGGCGGAAGCGCGGAGATGCAGGCCGAGGTGTGTCGTGCCGCGCACGTACCGGAGCACGCGCTTGACCAGCGCAAGATGACATTCGCGCGAGTCATGCATGTGGAGGCAGATCTGTTGAACGGCGTAGGCGATCTCCGGCCTGGTGATGGTGAGGTACTGGAGAGCGCCGGCGATGCTGCAGTACGCGGAGGCGTCGTCCACGCGAGGCCCAGCGGCGGTCGGGAGCTTGCTCTTGGTGTCGATCGGAGTCGGTGAGGGACGACATGTGTCCATGCCTGCGCGATTGAGCACGTCGTCGGCATACTGTTGTTGACAGAGGAAGAAGCCGGCGGCCGTGCGCGTCACCTTGATGCCCAGGAAGAAGTGGAGAGGGCCAAGGTCCTTCATGGGGAACTCGCTGGTGAGGCCGGCGATGACGCGACGGAGCACGCTCGGAGTAGAGGCGGTGAGCACGATGTCATGCACATAGAGTAGTAGATAGGCCGTGTCGACGCTGTGGCGAAGCGTGAATAGAGAGGAGTCCGAGCGCGTGGCGGTGAAGCCAAGCGTCTTGACGAAGCCAGCAAAACGGAGAAACCAAGCACGGGGTGCCTGCTTCAGTCTGTAGAGGGACTTGGAGAGGCGGCAGACATGGTTGGGGCGAGCCCTGTCGACGAAGCCGGCGGGTTGAAGACAGTAGACCTCCTCCTTCAGGGTGTCATGTAGGAAGGCGTTGGAGACGTCGAGTTGATGCACCGGCCAGCCACGCGACGCGGCCAGGGTGAGCACCGTGCGGATAGTGGCCGGCTTAACCACCGGCGAGAACGTCTCGCCGTAATCGACGCTGGCGCGCTGGCGGAAACCGCGCACAACCCAGCGGGCCTTGTAGCGAGCAAGGGAGCCGTCCGCATTGGTCTTGTGCTTGAAGATCCATTTGCCAGTGATGAGGTTGGCGCCGGTGGGGCACGGGACGAGCTCCCAGGTGCGGTTGCGCACGAGAGCCTCGTACTCGTCGCGCATGGCGGCGAGCCAGTTGGGATCACGAACGGCAGCACGCACGGAACTGGGGAGTGGGGCGATCGCCTCCGGTGTGGTGACGGCGGGCGCGGCGTCGTAGTAGCGAGGATTCGGCTTGAAGACGCGGCGCTAAGCACGAGTGATCATCGGCCGGGCAGGTGCCGGCGGCGGTGGAGTGGCGATCGCACGGGACGCGACGGGCGATCCCGAGGAGCAGAATCATCGACCTGCGCGAACGGGTTGGGCAGATCGGGGACGTCTGATACCATGTTAACAGAGGAGATTGGGAGAATGACACCACACTTTGATTATGCCCAAACAGTGGCTATATGTACAGCTTGGAGCGGCCTCTGCCTAGTGGTGATCATGGGGTGACAACTACCTCAAGGTGCGCCACTACTTGGCAGCACGATCTCTAGCATGCGTGCGTATGCGGAGGCTATACAGGGCATACGCTACGGCATGACTGCGGTGTACAGTAGGCTAATATAAAACATTACAAATTAGTGAAGGAATATGATACACACCTGGAAACATAAACTCCATGGCCTTCCTTTGGCAAGAAACCAAGCGCACGTACAGCCGAATGAGGATTCTGAACTATGCATCCACACCAGTTCACCATACGTGTTGTACCGTTACCGTCTATTGCATCTGTTCCAACGATAAGGTCTATTTCTTTTCCCTGCTCGAATGTTGAAGCAATTATACTATTGATAAATACTTAATTCAACCGTACTTCGTCAAAGAAAAAGTTCTTTTTTCCTTATAGACCGTCCTCACCTCGCGAAATATTGTCATGTTAAGCATTCCATCTGAACCAACTGAATGGTCCAGCTTTTGGCAAGCATTCTCAATGTCAAGGAAGCATGTAATAGGCTTCTTATCGATAGCAAGAATCATATCCCCTTCAAGAAGAGTTTCCGCTTTTGATCCAGCAAAGCAACCTATAACTTGCAATACTTGTCTTCGCTCAGGGTCCTTCTCATCTAGAGCCTGCAACATTAATCATATAGAACAGTAAATATTTAATGTATGCAACACAGGAGAAATTAACTAGTCAAAAAGGGGCCAAATGGTAATCGTGCGAGGTGTTCCCCTCACGAACAACCCTGCAGTTATCTATTCTTGAATGCCTCAGATGAATGTCATTAATATTTGACCGCATTAAAATAATTGTTGCACTGGTAAGCACATCAACATTCAGGCTCAGAAGCCACTAGGCAACAGCATTACTTAGCCGCAGAAGAAAGTAACAGTATTACGTATGATGTTTTTCAGATTAGGTAGCAATTTCAGACAAGATTAAAAGATAAACAGATCTAATTACCTGCACCCATCTATCGCTCAATCCATAACTTCTTGCCTCTGTGAGCGAAGTTGGATAAATCTCCACCTCCAGAAGTCTGACAAATGGCACTGGTCTCCTAATTCCATTAATAAGACGAAATGGTCCAGGAGTACCAGAGATTATCTTCTCAAGGACTTGACTTATCAGGTATATTGGTATACCTACAACAAACTGATGGTCGCCTTCTTTGCCACAACCGAAGAGCTGTACAAAATAATTGATTGAGTTATACCTCAATTAGTACGTTGGAATCACAACATCAGATGTAGAGGTTATAACTCATTATGACAGGTAAAAAACAAAACAATTCATCCTCTTTAGTTCAAGTACTCATAACATATTTCAGCAATTTAAGGTCTTTCCATGCGGTGAATATGTTTCTCTTCTATTGCCCATTTACTTTATGTTGGAGACATCATGCGGCTAATGCATCAATTCTTGGACAACAGACTAATGTGAACACTCCAATCAAAGCTAACCTGGCTGGAAATACTTGCCCATAGTGCTTGAACTCTCCCTTGCTCGTCGGTCAATACACCCGAAAGTTCGATAACAGAATCTGTAATAAACATTTCCCTACATAGTTAATATGAAAAATTGAGACACAAGAACTCAGTTTTGCTGAAATGTTTGTAGAACGTACCAGTATCGAGCTCAATGACCTCCGTATTAATTGCACGATACCGTGGGAAGTCACTTGAGCAAATATTAACAGCTTGCCAATTGGTTACGATTGATTTCCTTGATTTAGCATGTAAACTATCAATTAGACGAACTAGGTACACAGAATCTCCTCGGCGCAAGGCAGGTTCTACACATATAAAAAATTAAGGAATTTCTTAAAACATGAAATCAGATCGCATGGTCCAAATTAGTTTCTGCCAGAAGGAAATAGAAATTTCACTACCGGGTAGGTCATTTTAGTGATAGCACGATTGCGATTATTAATAAAAAAACTGAAATATAAGAAAACAAGTATATCCAATAACTTCTGTGTAATTCATCTCAGGATTTCAATATACATTAAGGGTAAGCAGTGGTGGAACTAGACGAAGATGTCAGGGGGGATAAAGAGAAAACATTAATGTTTGGGGAGGCTAATGACTACACTTTCTTCTATTTAAGACCCAAAAATATATATTTTTCCTTCAGTGATTGTATCAAGGCTGTGGGGTGGGGTGGGGGGGGGGGCAGTGCCCCGCGTCCCCGCCCAATGACAAATAAAAACTGGAAAAGAATCAGAAGAGAACAAATGAATGTGTCCAGTGCTAACCCATTAAAAAATTATTCACTAGTAGCTTTATTATTTGGACAGTTCACTTTCTTTTCACCAACTAGTTTAGTTATGAGAAATATATGATTTTTTTTAAAGAAAGTAAACCAGAGACTAGCCACATTACTTGACAGTTCTGCAATTTATTCTTTCTTTGACTGTCCAATTTAGTTAAGAAATGGATGAAAGCAGTCTACAGAAAACAAACCAGTAAGAAGTTTAGAAGCCCGGATAACGGATGCTCCAACTCCTAGTGTCGAAGGATCATACGCAACCAATGCAAAGTTGTGAAAAGGATGCAGAAAAATAACCTGAAAGCCAAAAAGTGGAAGCTACTATTTAATGGAAATTATGTATACCTTCAAATTACAATTAGGAAAGGGGGGATAAGCTCATACCTCTCCAGGTATTTCAATGGGATATGCAGCAAAAGAAACCATTATATCAGAGATAGATACAACAACTGTATTCCTATCAACAGCAATCAGACCAAGAGAGTCAGAATGATGTATTACCACACCAGCTCCAGTGAAATGTTTAGCATGCACTCCATCAATCATGCATATTGGTGGCACGCACACCTATATATAGAAAAGTAGAAAATTAGAGATATACGAGTGAGGTGGTTTTCAACAAGAAACACAAAAGCTACAGCTCAAAACTAACAAGTGCATGGTACATTGTACTATAATGCACACAACTGTTGGTTTTAAAGCACTAAATTAAATCACCCAGCAGAGCTATACGTGCGTGCAAGTAGCACACAAACAGGTTGATTGATTCCGTAACCACACACGTGCACGTTTTGCCACGTAGGCGTACAATCATTGGCAATAATTGGTTGGGGGGAGGGGGGGCGTGGCCCCCTTTGGCCCTCACAAAGCTCCTCCACTGGACAACACCAAGGAAAAAACATGGCATTTATTGGACACAATTGACATATAGGAGTGCCGTTCGTTCACTATCAATCGCCATCTTTGCTGAATTTCTAAAGATGAAGCCCATTTTTCTGACCATTCACGCCGTTAGATGCCACAAGGAGCAAGGGAATGAAACCATAAGTAACCTCAAAGATGATAAATGAACTACCAAATGTAGACCTCACATGTCTCACGAAAATAACCATAACTTTAGTCCCCTATTTGATGACACTAGTTCTTTATTTTCCCATGAAACAAAATTGCATAAAGAACTGATGCCGCAAGAAACCAGTAGTCTGTAGTCTTGTTGAGTCTGGGTGTAGTTAAAGATAGAATCTGATTCTAATCTGAATGGGTAACTATATATTGGCCTTGAGCCGAGAGGATAGGACATAAGTTGATTTCCCTCATAACATGGTATCATGGCACCAGTTGGAGTTGCTGCCACCGTAATCCCCTTTGTCATTGGGGGAGACTCTGTGTCTGGTGATGTGTCTCTAGATTGTCTGGGTTCTAAACTTAGCAAACAGATGTAGTTGTCGTACCCTACCAGTGAGTCAGTTTTGTTAGAACCACTAGCTCTAGCTCTCACCTGGGAGTCTCTAACATGATTGTGTTACTCCCTCCGTTCCAAAATAAGTATCGTGGTTTTAGTTCAAATTTATTTGAACTAAAACCTCGACACTTACTTTGGAACAGAGGGAATACCATATATCCCACCACCTACATATTGGCCTTGAGTCCATGGGAATTCACAAGTTTCCTTTCTCTCAACAGGCTTCCACAAAAGTAAGAAAACTTTCTTTCTAACAATGCATGAAGACAAGCTTTTACGTTTTTCTCAAAGAAAAAGTATAGACAACTACCAGCGCTTGTCTAATGTATTGTGCCATTCTGGAAGTCAAACTTCTTTCCTCAGAATGTTAGAAAATTTTAGCCTGGTGTTGGCGGACGCAGATTATGATTAATTTAGTCATGAAAAAAAAAATAGAGGACCATATTACTGTATTCACCAAAGGTCCAATGTGTGAAGTTTGTTTTATCATTGGCAGAACTGTTTTTACAACATTATTTGTGTGGAGTCGTGGGTAAGCTTGTACCGCATTAACCATTTTAGTTAGGGTAGGCTGCGGAACAGGTATAGTGTCATGACAGGATCTAAAAATATTAATCTGATGCACCATGACTACATGATTCCTTCCAAAATCAAAGTATAGACGTTTCTCACCTCAAACTTCACAAGAGCTGGTTTAATTACTTGTTCTGCCAATGAAGAGCCTTCCATGCTAGAAGAATGCCGTGAAACACCTTTTATGTCATCTAAATCTCTAGAAGATGACACAGTTCCTTCAACAGCTATATTCTCATCAACATTTGAGTTTACATCCCTATGACCTCGTTGATGAATGGAAACTACATATGGAGATTCCAGTAGCATAGCTGATTTTGCAATCCACAATCCAGTTGCATCATTTCGAGTATATAACTGAGGAGTTGCATACCATCCACGCTGATCAATTGTAACTATTGTATGCTGGACACACCAATAAGACAAAAATTTAGTTGTATTCTAACAAATACATAAAGAAGATTTTTCATGATAAAGCCACCAGGGAATATTTTCCTACCTTGTTCCGATGTCGGTCAGTGTATGTTACATATTCAAGAGGCACTCGTTCTCCCCTAGACAGTTCTGAAATAACCGCAATAAAGTCACCTAAATGTGCAATATCCTTTCTTGCAAACTTTTTGATGATGGAATATCGTGGAACTGATGCTCGGGAGAGCATGTACCTGCGTCGCACCATGTTGCATAAGACAGAAATCTCAGGAAATGGAACATGAATTGTCAGATGTCTTACCCAGGTTCAGCAACATATACAAGACCACATTTGAACCCGAAGTTTCTAGCCTGAAACATCATACATACAAGATTAGTTTTTTCGACGGAAAATACAAGATTAGTTTATGTTATGTACAATGATGCTTTCATAGACTACATAAACATAAATATAGTCTCTCTTTTTACAGCTAAAAGGTACTCCCTCTGTAAAGACGGTTAGGTGATCCAAATGCTCTTATATTTCTTTACAGAGGGATTCATAGACTACATAAACATAATAGTCTTTCTTTTTACAACTAAAAAGTACTCCCTCTATAAAGAAATATAAGAGCGTTTAGACCACTTAGCTCGCCTCTCCTGGTGGTCTAATTGGCAGTGACCTAAGGCTTGAATGTTCTGACCTGTAGATATTGAACTGATGCGCTAGCCAAGTTTCTCAAAAGTCCGAACTGATGGAAAGGACTAGGCAATGTATTTTAACAGTCCCCCTCACATCTAGGTTGTGGATGTACAGGAAGACCTTAGACGTGGGATCAAGATTAGATCGCAACTATTTTTATATTAAATAGTGCGTTGGCAAGGATTTGATCCCAAGACTTCGTGGCTCTGATACCATATTGAACTGATGCGCTAGCCAAGTTTTTCAAAAGTCCAAACTGATGGAAAGGACTAGGCAACGCATTTTAACTGTACATAACAGAAAAGCTTCACGGAGCTCAAACTCCAAATGCCTTGTCCACTAAATCTGGGGACAAACATCTCTCACCTGACGTCGTGGAACATCCGAAACAAAGAAACTCTAACATCCTTGGTATGAGCACCTTCAAGGTATTCTTTAAACATATGGCATCAAAGACCATGGTTAACTTGTTTAGCCAAACAACCGCCAAACATGGAGTAGATCGGAGAAGGATCCAGATCCAAGTGTCTTCTCGTCGGGAGAGAGGGTCCTGGCATGAGATTGGGCTGAGGCAACGATCCACATCCAAGAAAGGGTCATCGACACCAAGCCCAGACTAGGTCCACGCGCCTCCAACAAAAGGAGAATCAGTAAGGGCCTGTTCTGATCCTCTCTGAACTTCCAAAACTCCTCAAAATCAACTTCAGAAGCTAGCTTCCAACTCCACCTAGTGATCAACAAAGTGTTCTGCACGTCATAGCTTCTCGCAGCGATTTGGCCCACTGAGGAGGCTGCTGGCTTGCTCAGGTAGAGTTTGGGGTGGCTGGAATCAGCCTAGCTCGGGCTTGGCTGGGTTTTCAAAGATAAAAGGGCTGCTATGTTTTTTTTTACACAGGGACTAGTTGCTGCGAATTTGGGCAACTCCCCTTTCTCATTTTTCTGGAGTTGGGCTTACCCCACTTCGTGTTTTTACACTAGACTCGGGCTGGGCTTCTGGAATCTAGCTTCTACGAGCTAATTCATTCGGGACAGCTTCATGCTACAAATTTGAGAAGATAGAAGCAAGAGGAGATCAGAACAGTCCCTAAACCTACTATACACACAACAAAGGCCAGAGCTCCCGGTGGCAGAGACGGATCGGATGTGTACTCTCAGATAGGCTTTTGCCCCACTATATAAATAAAGTCAACACCACGTCCATACAAGAGTGTCAAGTTCAACGAAATAGAAGATCCTACTGGGGCATCAGCACAAACACACCTAAGAAAAGCATAAAACCAATAGGGAGAAAGACCACCAAGTGGCCACTGAGTGAGGGGGCTTGTTGCGAGGCAAGGAGGCTAGCATCATCACACAACGGGTTCATCATCAGTCCCAGCCTCTTTCGGTCCCGCTGCTTAGACAACGGGTGCCAATGCTGCAAAAACACTAGGAATTTGAAGATCAAGTCAGAGCCCGTTGAAGAAAGATGCTCTCAATCACCATCTTATTACGTGTCGCTCACAATGTGCAAGCTAATGCCGCAAACACAAACCAGAAGAGGCGTCTCCTCCTATCGGTCTGGTTGACGCTGGTTTGAATGATTCCAACCAAGTCCAGAGCCTCCCAATCAGGCCCTCGAGCCTCACAGAAAAAACTTTCAAAGAAGCCTCACCGTGGTGTACGAAAAGAGGATGTGGATCCCCGAGTCAGGTACCCCACACAGAGGGCAGAGGTCATTCCCCAGGCCGTGTCTCTTGATCATCTCCATCTCGGATGGGAGGCGATCCCTCAACACTTGCCAAAGAAATTTTTTGATCTTCAAGGGCAAGGGCGCTTTCTAAAGTGGAGATGTCCAAGCAATAGTCAGCCTACGACACCAAGCATGATATGCCGAGCTGACAGAGAAAACACCTGAAAAGGCGAGACGCTAGGAAAACAGTGTCCGAATATTCCGCGAGCACCGGCGGGCAGGGCAGTCCGCAAATTACCCCACTCTACTAACTCCAACTGCCCCAATGACCGCCGAAGCAAGATGTTCCATTGGCCATTTAGGACAGCTAAAGACACCAACATCATCGGATCCGCGCAAAATGGCAAACAGGTTAGGGAACCCCATACATTACGGGGTTCCACCGAGCCAAGGGTGGAGCCAAGATAGGGTCCCCTCTCCATTGCCGATGGAGAAGGTAACCCCTAGGCGGATCTCCTGCTTGATCTGTTAGATGGACTTCCAGAATTGGGAGCCAACCATACGCGAGCAAGCAAGGAGAGGCTCACACACCCCGCAAATATTTAGTCTGAAGAAGTTGCAACCACAAACCCCCTCCCCTCGCGTAATCCGCTGGACCCAACGGAGCATCAAGGCCACATTCATGCAACGGGAAGCTAGGATGCCTATCCCTTCCAGGTCCTTAGGCAAACATATGTCAACCCACTTTACCATATGGTATTTTTGACGATCGTTCACCGCCCACGAGAAGAAACAAGAAAGTTCTTTATCAAATGAGTTGCGAACCCGCTCCGACAAGATATACAATCCCATCATATACATGGGGAGGCTAGAGAGATTGGCGTCAATCAGGACCGTCTTACTACCTTTGGAAGTAAAACGTCTGCACCAGGGTTTTGTCTGAGACGCGATCCACCCCATGAGTGGGTCAAACTTGACTAGCATAACCCTTGAGTCTCATAGGGGCATCCCCTAAATAAGATATAGGAAATGAGGACAACTTGCAAATCAGGTTGTCCGCAATCTACTATTGCTCAGCCTGAGAGTATCCTGATATCATCACCTCACTCTTGTCAAAGTTGATCCTAGGACCAGACATGGCCTCAAGCAAAGAAGGAGGAACTTAAGGTTAAGAACGTCAAGGCCTAAGCGTTTGAGCATAATCATGGTGTCATTCCATTACTGCAAATGCATGACACCACCACAGGGATCAGGTGCCTAACCACGCTAACTAGGTGGCTGACATCCTAGCTTTGTCCACGATGGCCGCGAGGGCATCAAATGCGATGTTGAAGAGGAGTGGAGAAATAGGATCTCCCAGCCTCACCCCCCCCTCGGACGACCTAAAGAAGGGGCCTACCTCCCTATTGATATTAATAGCAGTGCTACCACCCCGTACTAACTGCATGATCCAGGAGCACCACCTGTCATTGAACCCCCTACGCTCAAGCACCAAGTGCAAGAAGGAGCTAATCATAAGCCTTTTGGAAATCAAGCTTAAGGAAGATGCCCCTATGGTGACATCTCCTAACCTCATGGACAATCTCAGGCCAAGATCCCATCGTGGATGCGGCGACCCTTCAGGAACACGGACCGGAATGGGTGTGCGGGGTGCTCTGCAATAGGAGATAGTCATGTCGCACAAACCTTTGCAAAAATCCTCTTGGGGACATTAATTATCATAATCAACCTAACGTGTCGGATATCCATTACCCCAACTATTTTGGGGATCAGGGTAATGACACCAAAGTTCAGGCATGCCATATCCAGCGCCCCAATATAAAATTCATGGAACATCGGCTGAAGCTGAGGCCAAAACTTTTGAAAGAAGGCCACCGGAAGGCCA